ACTGTAATTCAGAAAGTGATCTCCTGGACTTATAAGGAGAAATCTAGAGGAATTTCATTTTATAGAGTTTGTGTTACATATTATCTCTCATGAATGATGAAAGCAAATAGAGGAATCTACTGTGAACTTGCATATATTTCTTTATTCGTTCATTGCTTGATGGACACTGTGGTTTCCATTTCTTAGAATTATAAATACTTCTATAGGGAATGTGGGAGTACAATGTCTGTGATATACTTCAATGTATACAATGAATAGGATTAGTAATTCTTATAGTGCTTCCTGTTTTAATGTATGTTTTCTATAAAGGTCTAGCTAATATATATCCTTATCAATATTAAGCAAGATTCTCTATTTCTCTGTATCTGTATAGCAACTGTTATTTTTTGTTCATATGATAAGATTCATTCTTCTTGGAATGATATATTTTATTGTGACCCTGACTCACATTTCCCCTATGGTTAGTGATATTTCATAGATTTTAATATATTATGGGTTATCTATGTATATGTTTTTATAAAATGTTTGTATAAATCCTTTGTCCATTTTTTTCTTGGGTCTCTAAGATTAAGAGTTCTTTACATATTTTGAGTATCAATTCATTATTTTCTCTCATTCATTGGAAACACTGCACTCTGTCACCTACTGCAACATATAGAAACTTTATTTTATACAATCATACTTGTCTATTTTTGCTTTTGTTTGCTGTGGTCTTAGAGTAGTGGTTCTCAACATGGGAGTCTTGACCTTTGGAGGTTGCATATCAGACATTTACATTAAAATTCAAAGCAGCAAAATTACAGTTATGAAATAGCAACAAAATAATCTAATGGATGGAGGTCATCACAACATGAGGAACTGTATTGCTGGATCATTAGGAAAATTAGGAACCAATATTTTAGAATCTTACTTAAAAATTCCTGAATCCTTACCAATTATAATGCCATAAAGCATTTTCCTTGTCTTCTAAAAGCTTCATAGTTCAAGGTCTTACATTTACTTCTTTAAAATATTTTCAGATAAAGTCTTTACTAAATAGGTTCAACTTTAACTTCATTGTTCTGACTGGAAACATCCAGCATTCCTAACAACAAGTATTGCATATTCTTAGCATCTTTGTGAAAAAGTGACCAGGTTTCAGATCTGTTGGCTTGTTTCTAGAAATATTGAAATCCTAAAAGTAATGTATTCAACTTTCACATTGTTCAAAAATATGAAAATTAACTTTAAGAGTGAATGTGACCAGGTTTCAGGTCTGTTGGCTTGTTTCTAGAAATATTGAAATCCTAAAAGTAATGCATTCAACTTTCACATTGTTCAAAAATATGAAAATTAACTTTAAGAGTGAAACCACAGAAAAATCTATTCTTATTTCTTTTCAGGATCATTAAAAACCCCATTTGGAGAAGAAAAAAATCTATAATATGGAATAGAAAACACTATGTTTGGGTAGAAGTCTAGATATATATTCCAGTCCTACTCATTATAGAGTGCATGATCCTATGAGCAAGGTCCATAATTCTCTGAGGACTGGTTCACTCAGCTCAGTATGAGGATATGATGTATTTCCACAGTGATTTATGGCATAAAGAAAGCCATGTGTAAATAGTCCTAATGGGTAAGGTTTAAGATACTCTGGAAGTAACAGTGTGAGACACTGCAAAAAATCCCTACAAAACTCTAAATAGCTGTTTTGACAAAATAAATATTTAAATGCAACACTTCTGAAAAACATGAATTATAGTTATCCAATGGCAAAACTTATTGTTGAAAAGAGTTACATTTCACTACAGCCATTTTAATCTAGCCTGTTTGCATTAACTCTCAAAGCAGGGGGGAAATCCATAGTCTATTATTTTCCCAAGCTGATATTTCTTTAAAATATATTTAATGAAAGAATGCAATATTTTGAAACTCTTTTGACAGTTTGCAATTGATGTGGAGTGTCCCTCAAGAAAAAAAGAGAGATCAGGCCCTGGAAATCAATAGTATAAAATGGTACAAAGCATGAAATTTGACTTATATCAAGCAAAGGCTGATTTATATTGGAACTGGAAGAAAAATTATTATTCTGGTACAGAAATGTCATCTGGTACCTTGATCCATCATACTTCTTTGCTAGTGATCATTTACACTCTTTAAGTGTGTATAGACATGTATAATATACGTGCAGGAAAGTGATAAGACAGAGTACATAGAAACAATGTTGCCTCCAGAATTATGGGAAGCAAAAACTGTTGCCCAAATATACCCATTCATAACATGTGTTTGAATGTTTTAAGCTATAAGTAACATATTCACTTCAGAAATGGGTCATTATTGAGTCACTCAAGAAGATGATGAGTTTTTAGATTTTAATATTTATTTGTTTTTTTGGGTAGGGGGCATAGTCTTGCTACATAACCCAATCTAATCTCTAACAAGAGCTTCTACTGTGATGGAATTGCAGCTTAAGGCATTGCATATATCAAGTGTTCAGCTTTTTGAAAAAATGCTCTCATTTCCTCAAGGAGAGATATGGTCCCAGCCATTTCAGTGCCTCTGAAAACTGATCCCTTCTTCAGCCTTTGAAAGAACAACAGCTGCTTCTTGCCCTTTTAGTCATGGAAAAGAGATAAAGAAAAGTGGTCCCAGCAGCCATAACAGCTGTCACTACCAGAATAAGGACCTGGAGAATTAAAAATGGGATAAATAGTATTGGCACTACAATAAAGATGTAGACAATTAATAATGTACCAAGCAACTTCCTCTAGATCTCCCCAGCATTCCATCAAAAGCACCTGAGAATAAATTTAAGAAAGCATTAGAATTGTTAAAGTGGTATCTCTGGCTGTGGATTCTTTGCTTTGTTTGATATGATTTCAGCATATTATACAGCAGAGGCCCAATTGTCAAAGGGTTAAACTGTGAGTCACTGGGCATTTATGGAAGGATTTCTGCCCCTTTACAGTGGGTCTTAAACAGAGCAGCGACACAGTGTCACATCTGGCTTTGATGGTGTCATGGTGGAAGCTGAGTAGGGGGAATTATAAAATATTTTTATCCAACCTCTAGTTAGTCCTGCTGTTTTCAATGCGGAGACAAGATGCCAGAACACCTTTCACAACTTCAGATCAAAGAAAGCATCTTTATTTTACATCCTGGTGAATATATTTAAAAATGCTTGACTAACTCTGATGACATGAATTTCCAAGGCACATTGTGTTATTAATACTACTGCTTTATTCACAGTAATCACCGGTAAGAATTCACTGAACTGGTACTCCTGATTTTTTTTGTAATTTTGCACTTCTTAAATATACTCAAAATTTTTTGGCACATTCACAGTGCCCTAAAAGATTATTCAGAATAAAATAGGGGGAAAACCAATAAGTGCCTAAATCTGCTAATCTTGTTAAAGTGTATCTTGGAGGGCTTCCTGTTGATCCAATGAGGAACTGAAGTAGACTTCTACTTAAGTGCAATAAGTTAATGTGTTGTTCTTAGTCTAACTGAGAGTGAGGACAAATTTAAACAAAGTGCAATAAATTTCACAAAAAAAGAAAAGGAGTTGCCACTGCAGAATTCAAACACTTCTACACAAATGACAGACATCCAAAAATCTATTATTAAGAGATTCTTCTTTTCTCTTTTAAAATTATTTCTTTTGTTTTTGGAGATTGAAATATAATTACACCATTTCCCATTTTCTCATTCCTTTCATCACTCCTTCCCACTATAACTCTCCTTGCTCTGTTCATAATTCACAGCCTTTTAAAATTAATTGTACACACACACACACACACACACACACACACACACACACACACACACACACACACACACACACACACACACACACACACACACACACACAGAGAGAGAGAGAGAGAGAGAGTACATACTGCTCAGGACATACAATGTTACTTGTATGTATATTTTCAGGGCTAGCCATGTTTGTCCTGGATAGTAGCTGATGTTCTCTTCCCTGGGGAAAACTATTTTCTGCATTCCTCAGGTGCCTACAGCTCTTGCTATTGAGGGTTGAGGCTGCCTATACTTTCTCCTGTCCACCTTGGATGTCTATTGTCTTTGTTCACTCATGCTCTGGCACTCATGTTGGTGAGACTTTAACATTCCTAGGAGACACAATATCACAGAAAACCTATTGTTCTTCAGGCTTTTATAATCTTTCTGTCTCTTCTTCCCCAATGATCTCTGAACCATAGGTGTGGGAGTTGTATATTTTTTCCAGTGGGACTAGGCTGCTCAACTTTGCATTTTGATTTTTTTGTGGTTTTCGTCAATGGTTTATGTCTGGTGCAAAGAAAAGTGTCCTTAATGATGACTGAGAATGACACTTATTTGTGGGTATGAGGACAAATATTTAGAGTTAGTTACTGTGCTGGTTGGTCGCAGGTCCTCTGCTAAGATCCATAACTTCACTATCCTTATGTGTTTGGTTAGGTGTCCAGCGTCATGCATTTTTTTGCATGTTGAAGAGGTCTTAAGTTCATTTAGAGAGCTATAGATTACTGCTAAGGTATGTATACCACTACTGTACACTTAGGGTTATGATGCCATACTGGTTGTTATTCTGGTTCATAGATATACTTCCACTTTAATATATTAATTCCTTAAATGTTTCATTCTGTGAACTAGGTTCTAGTCTATATTTGACACCATAGATCTTTCTATTTTTAAGTCATTTATTAAAGCATAATAGTATCCAAATGAGTCTACAGAGTCATAACTTTTCACATATAAGGAAAATATTTCTTTTGGCACAGATAAATAAAAAATTACTTAAAAGCAAAGTATGTGATAAGTTTAGTGTGGGTAAAAACTTAGAGCAAAAATTCTACTTAACCTAATCTTATATTTTAAAAATAAGGAATAAATTTTTACAGTCTAAAGTGGAAATATGAGATAAGAGCAAGTAACATGTAAAATATACATTCTATTATATTATTCACATTTTAATGCTTGCTAAAATAGAATAGGTTTATAATATTATTTATGTGCTCACTTTGGCAGCACATATACTAAAATTGGAATGATACAGAGGAGATTAACATGGTTTCAGCACAAGTGTGACACACAAATTCATGAAGCATTATATACTTTATAAGGAAAATAATTTCAGCAGGAAAGGCATTTTGAAAATCAGAAAACATAAACACAAAAATGAAGACTTCTGATCCCTCTGCTGACTCTACACCTCTACACTTCCAACTTATTCTAAGAAAAATGCAAAATACAAGAGGTAAATGAAGAAGATGAAATTGCTGAAAAGAAAACGGGCAAAGCCAAGATTAAAATTAAAGCTGAAGTAGCTGAGGAGGTGGAGAAGGCTGTAGAGGATGAAAACTGGGGAATAGAAGAGAAGCCATTCTATAAAGATGAAAAGGAAGTATAAAAAGAGATACATTAAGGAAGAACAGCTTTCAAAGGAGGAGTCATGCTCAGCAACTCTTAACTCAGAGAGAGAGAAAAAAAAGAAAGAAACAGTGATAACTAATGGAAAGCAACTGTAATTCTGCCACCTGTATACATCATGCTTAAAATTCAGTTGGGACCATATAAAATGCTCTGTGAAATAATCAAAGGATGTTAAACCCAATGATGGTTATCTACCGGTTTTAAATCCTTTATCTCCTGACATCAACTCTTAACCTAAGAGTCTGATACACACAAAAACAATTATTTTCTTGTATTAAAAATATATTATTGTTCAGAGTCACCTGACACAAGTGACCTGCATGCCGGACCAGTTCGGCGGTGGGTTCTGATCTCCAAACACCAGAGGCAGCACGGCCTCCATCTGCCGGTCCAGGACCCTGCATGCCGAACACTGCCAACACCCAGGGAACAGAGACATCTCCATTCATGAGAAGAGGACCAACATCCGAATATTGGATCTGTTTGCATCTACAATTAGAGAACCTTGGTCCCACACCCACCAAGAGAACAAGAAACACTTGCTACACCCAC